GGCTCTTTTGCTGTGAAGATTGTCTTGGAGTCGGGTTGTATCTCTTTCTCAGAGTCGGTTTCGTATCCGCTCTCTTCTTCATTCCGAGTTGGATCCGAAGTTGAAAGTTTCGTCATCTTCTCGGCGAGTTCATATTCAACTTTGTCGTCGAATTCTTTTTCTTCTTGGAGACGGGTACGTAGCTTGCCGTCGCCGTCAGCCTCACAGATCCAGGATCCGAAGACAAAGGTTGTTCCCACCGGAAAAGCCATCTTGAGGTCGAGGTCCGCCGAGCTCTCGAGAAAAAATTCGTCGAAAGCCCCTACCTGGCGCGCCAGCTGTCGATGTTTTACCATCGATAGCCTACCACGGGGGTACCCGGGACAGTTGTTCGGGCTTTGGCAAATAGTGGAACTCGGCGGTTACGCAAAGAGACTCATGATTTATACTGGTTTAGGCCCTCTACTTGGTCGAGTAATAACCTTACGTCCAGTTCGACGTTAGCCTGTTTGCGTCGTATTGCTTTGAGTATTCGGTATGTTCAGTCGTTTACAAGGGATATCCTCACCAGCCCTTTATAGTCCAGGTGCTGAGAGGAGTTGTTTGTGTTCTACTCGGATACAAGGTCAGAGTCCTAAGCTATGCTTCGGGCGCCTTTCCTTGTATAGTTTGAATTGGAGTTTTGGTCTTGCACGTTGCTTTGCTCCGTGTTCTTCTTGGCGATTGGGCTATGGGCCTTGTTACCAAGGCCCACTTCCCTATAGTACGGTCTATGGGGGGCCCATAGGGTTCCCCATCGACAGCTGCCTCCATCCATCAGCACCTTGGTGAGGCACTTCTTGCGGATGATGGGGTCGGTGACGAGCGGGTAGCGACCCGGTTGGGCGACGTGGGAAGGATGGTCTCTCTGATCAAAAGTGATCAGGGAGTCCGACCAGCTATGGAAACAGGGGACGGCCGTCTCGGCGGCACATGCCTCTCTATAGCGTACCTTGTGCTGGCGCTTGGAGTGGATGGTGTCGGATCCCCAAAGATCATGAGGCATTCCTTGGGGTCGGGGAAGACGTCATCATCCTGGCCCGTCGTGCCTCCTTTCTTGGCCGCTGCCTCCTTTCCCTTCCCTTCCTTCGGCTTGCCGACCTATCGCAGAAAGTGCTTTAGGAGCTCACAGTCCTTGTAGAGGTGCTTGACGGGGTAGGCGTGATTGGTGCATGGACTCTCCATGAGCTTGTCGAAGTGGTCGGGTTGGCCCTGCTGGGATGCTTGCCTACACGATCGACTACGACAACCAAAGCTAGGTTGGTCGATCGGCGCCGATCCTTATTGTTCTTCTTGCCCCTTTGCGTGGAGGGGCCCTCGCGCTTGGCCTTTCCCTTGTCCCAACCGCCGCTGAAGACTGCCCCAACCGCCTCCTCCCCAGAGGCATGGGTCGTGGCGATGTCGAGCTGGTCACGGGTGGTACGGGGCTTCAGACAGCCGAGCTTGTGGATCAAGGACTCACATGTTGTCCTAGAGAGGAACACACTGATGACGTCCACATCAACGACATCAGGAAGGGAGTTGTACCATTTTGAGAACCTACGGATGTAATCCCATAGGGGCTCATTGGGCTCCTGCTGGCAGCTCTTGAGATCCTAGGAATTCCCAGGACAGACATATGTCCACCGAAATTCCCGACGAAGACCCTCTTGAGATCCGCCCAATCGCGAATGTTGTCAGGCGGGAGGAATTCGAGCCATGCTCGAACCTACTCCCCCACACAGATGGGAAGGTATTGAATGATGAAGTGGTCATCATCCACTCCTTCGGCTCAGTAGGCGAGCCGAAAGTATTCGAGCCATATATTGGGGTTCGTTTCCCCGGTGTATCTAGCGATGTTGGTGGGTGGTCGGAAGCGTTGTGGGAACGACGCTCTCTGGATGCGGCGATTGTTGATGACGCTACGAGTGTCACGGTTCGACCTGAGCCATTCGCTCACAGGTGGTCGGTGTGGAGCAGGCGACAGGTCGGGCTATGGTGTAGCTACGGCCTCCTGCCCCACGCCCAACAATTGTAGCGGTGAGTGGATGTAGCGACTGGACTAGTGCGGCCCCATTCCCTCGGTGGGGCAAGAGGCCGCAAGCCGGTGTTGCGACACAGAGCTCTCCGCCTATTAAACGACGACGGTCTCCACCAGCGCCCGGAGGTTCCGGTGGATTGCTTGCTCCTGGGGGTCGGCCGACTCGGGGAGGCCACGCAGAAGCATCGCCGCAGCAGCGATGTTCTGGCCAGCTCGAGCGAACTGAGGGGGGTCGTTCCCTCCATCCAGGATGTTGCACTAGACCTGACAGGCGTGACCCCGGGCGCTGCTCGCCAGGTTATGCGCGCGTGGCGTAGCGTGCTGCGTCGAGCGCGCCAGCACAGGTGGCGGCTGGCTCTGTCGCCTTTGTGGTAACTCCTCGCCATGCTTCTACGCACGCGCGAGGGCCTCCGCACGAGGGTCCGGAGGAGTGTGAGTCTGTAGAGACTTCGCTGCCACCGATGGTTGTACCGGAGCATCCGCCATAGTGCACTCCTAGGACAGAGGGTGGCCAGGTGCCACGACGTCGCCGATGCTAGAGCCGTCGCTTTCAACCTCGTCATCTACGAGGTCGTGAAAGGAGGCGGGAGCGTAGCCCACTATCCCCATGAATTTGAATGTGAGAGGGGCGGCGGCCACATGCTTCGGAGACCCCACGCGCACGCGTCCATGGGGGACGCGAAGCCATAGGGGAACAGGTCATACGACGGTCGTGGTGAGGACAACGGGGTTCCTCCGAAGGGTCGGCGGAAGATGTTAAATAGTGAATAAATAACAATATGTACGTTACTCACCGTGGAGTTTGAGCCCAGCATGGGCTCGAGGCGAAGCCCGTGTGTCTCCACGTTGAGGTCGTCGAGTGGCCCAGGGCCGGTGGAGGGCGCTCCTCCTCCAGTGGGTGCCGGGACAAGTGCCTCCTCGCGGAGGCAGAGTACACCGAGCTAGTCGGCGATGAAGTCCATACTTCCGAAGAGGAAGGTCTGGAGTGGTTTGAAGACAGGAGGAACCCACATCCCAACAGGTGGGAGCGTGGGAAACTCTAGCAAGCCAAAGTGAATCATATCGCTTGAGCCCGCCATGCCAAAGATGGTGGAAAGATGAGCCATCCGATGACCTAAAGCGTGAACTCATGGCGTCCTCCCCATGGACGACGCCAACTGTTGTGATCGGATGTGGCCTAGCACTCAATGACATAGGATTTATACTGGTTCAGGCAACGTGCCCTACGTCCAGTTTCAGTCGGTCGGTGACTTTATTCCTGAGCCCAGGTGCTAGAAGTTTGCTGTGGGGTTACAAACGAGTAAGAATAAGAAGGGGGTGTTAAAGGCCCGGTCGGACTCTGAACCGAAGGGCCGAGAGTGACGAAGGCTCTAACGTGCGCTAAGTATTGGAGCATATGCTTTGTGTAACTGTCGAGTTCTAGAGCTGTGGAGCTGTTTGAATACTCAAGTTGTCTAAAGCCAGATCCCCCAGGAGCGTCCCTGTTGGGAGAGAGCGCATCCCCTTTTATAAGTGAAGGGGATGGCCTTACAAGTCAGAGAAAGAGAGAGAGAGAGAGCGTACGTGTGTGACCAAGTCTTGTTGCTCACGCCATCGAGTACGAGACGATTGTCGGCACCCACAATACTGTTTATTCCCAGATGCATTTGGCAGGCTCTACCGTGTTCGCCAGGCATGCCCCGATGGCACCGTCCTGCAGGTGCGCAGGGCATGGCAGGGTACGATAAACCACGGCGCCCACAACACTGTTTGGGTTCTGACACACCTGGAAGATTGCATAGTGCCAATCTGGTATGGTCTGGTGGCACCGTCCTATAGGTGCGCAGGGTACGGTCATCGGTATTGCGGTTTAACTTGAGCGTCTTACCTTATCTGCTCCGCCTGATCCCCGGGCCCTTACCGAGCGGGCATCTCCAGTCGGTCGTTCCCGGTCGGCCGCGACCGTGTCGGTCGTGGAAGAGCTGCAAGCAGAGGTTCGGCGTATTCCCGGTCGGAAAAGGAGGTCGGAGTCGGACTATGTCCCCTCCTTGGCCAGGCCTTCCGGTCGGGGACCGAATCATTCTCCCAGCCTGTCATTAGGTATATGGGCCGGCCCGGGAGGCGCGCGTTGTTGCTACGCCATCTGCTGGGTCGAGCTTTTGCTGAGAAGCGGGACCATTGGGGACCCCGGGTTTATGAAACCGACAGTCATCTAAGGACAACAAGACATGAATTGTGAGGCACTCTTTTGAGTGTCCTTTTATCGAAAAAAACAGCCGCCGAAGGTGAAACTAACAATGTTAAGTAAACCTAATATTAGCAATCCAAGAAAGAAGGTCATTCCAAACTGTTAATTGAGGTCAATCCAACGACGTCAATTTGAAATGTTTAGAGGAGATCTACTAAAGAGCTCAGTTGTGATATGTTGCTTGCATTGTATGTAATGTAACCATGATGTATAAGCAAGGATAGTGTTTCCTCAAAGGGAGAGTGCCCTAACTACTTGTCGTCGGAATCTTACTTAGGCCCCATTCGGTTAGCCTGGAATGGACCGTTTCAGGTAGAACAGAACAGCCTGTTTCAAAAATCGGAGTATTTTGGCCAGGATCCAAAGCTGGTCTGGCCGCTGCCGAATGAACCCTTAGGGACATAACATTGATCGTGAAGGATCCAAAATGGGAAAAAGTATTGTTTCACCTTCATACGACTGCTCTTTTAGAAATATGAATCCGTGTTACTTTTCCAAAGAGCCTAAGATAGAGTGTTAGAGTTTAAATACTTCTTCCGAATTAATTAATTGGTAGTAACTTGAAAAGCCATTTACCAAAAAGCACAGCCGATGCATCAAATAGATGAACAATACGCATGTGCTAGCCTGGAATTGTTGGACTAAAATGATATAATGGATGCAGTGCTTATATTACACAGAGACGGTGCTGCCACCACTCGTCTAGTAGCACTTGGGTAGCCAAAACCAAGGCAGCTAAACTGTCTCGTGGGCCGTGTCAGGGCAGTGGGACGCCGACGTCGCCGCGGCGCAGGTGGCGGCGGCGCCGAGCCAGCGCGCGAAGGCGTCGAGCGTGCCGGCGTCGGCGCGGTAGTGGCGCTGCGTGAAGCGCGCCAGGTCTGCCCAGGTGAAGTCCGGGTACCGCCGCGGCTGCTCCTGCTCGCGTGCGGCAACGGCAAGAAGGCACGGCGGCGGGCGCACCACGTGGTCCTCGCGCGGGCAGAGGAAGAAGACCAGCGACCGGCGCTCCCGCTCCCGGTGCACCACCGCGCGGTGGAGGCAGCTCCGGTACAGCCCGTTCGACAGCGCCTGCACGCACCAGACGCAAAGACTGCAAGAGATGGATGCCAGAACACAACGCAACGAAAGGAAAATAGCTGGGAGCCCAGGAGGGCGACGTGCAGACTGAACGCACGGACTGGCGCACTGCGCTGCTAGTAGGGCGGACTGTCGATATGCGGCTGCTTCGTCTTGGTCACAGTTCCAGACAGGACAGGAAGACGACGACGTCAGATATCGGGGCAGCGTGGCTACTGCCGGCCACCACCGCTTGCGTCCAGCGTGTTTGTCCGGCTACGATCGAACTACTACCGTCCAAAATGGACAAGCGTCCAAGGGACGCAAAAGAGGAAGGACTCTCTAGCCATTTTCAATGCGTCGATGGAGGGCATGGATCGTGAAAGATACGACTAACAGCACCACCTGGATGTTTTGGGCGTAGGTTCGCACTAAACTTTTGGCGGCCGTGATGATGCCGCTTGAAGCACAGTGTATACACGGATAGATGATCTAAGACTATATATCTAGAGGTTTCATGTGAAATGAGACCGCTGACTTGGATGTACTATAAACTCTTGCTTCTAATTCTGTTTTTACAAGGCATTTCAAAGAGACGAGTAACACCACCACCTAGGAGTTTTGGGCGTAGGTTCGCACTAAACTTTCGGCGGCCGTGATGCCACTTGAAGTGCAATCTATACACGGGGAGGTGATCTAATACTATATCTAGAGGTTTCATGTAAAATGAGACCGCTGACTTGGATGTACTATAAACTCTTGCTTCCAATTTCATTTACAAGGCATTTCAAGTCTGTCAAAATCAAACTTTAGAATCTTTGACTAATAGTTTTTAATTATTGTAATATAAACTTGATAACATTAGATTTATAACCAAATGTACTATCCAATAACCATAAAAGATAGTACCACCGAGTGTCTTGTTCCTAGTTGGTTGAGAGAGACAGGTACATGTGCTATTTGACTAATGATCGATGAGTTGTTTCCCATATATGGGCACATATAGTACTTTCTTCGTTCTAAATTAAAGATATTTTGACTTATCTAGATATATAGCATTTGCTAGCTATGTACATAGTAAAAATAATGTATCTAGAAAAGGCAAAATATTTTATAATTTGGAATGGAGGAAGTAGTTAGGATCTATTTGTATTAGATTTTTGGATTCTGGACATAGGTTGTAGGTGACCATTATCCTTAAATAGTAAGGTGGAAGTGGATAGTTGGATTCTCATAATTCGATGGTTGGATTATAAAAAACCCTCTAGAATCTGGCTACTAATTTAAATTTTATTCTCGTGCTTGGAAGATCCATATATGGCCTCAGTATGGCTAGATTTTAACCAGATTAACACAATCAAAGATCGTCTTATTTTCTCCCTTAATGAACTGCACAACAGCTACTTTCTCCAGCTTCCTATCCTTTGTTTTTTTAAACACTTGGAATGGTTGTCTCAAGCGAGTGATAACCTGCAGCTTGCTAGAAAGTGAGCCAGTAGAACTGAACGCCGACAGCGCCACTACGTGACACATGGAGATACTGCCACGGCTCATACACATGCATGCATCGGTTTCGCAAAATGATGCCAGCACTGAGGCAAATACGTTGTCTGGAGCGAGATCGACCTGCTGCGTTCCAACACGTTCGCGATCGACGTCGTACCGCATGCCTGTTTCGCGAATATACACCTTATAAAAAAAACCCTAACGTACCATGAATGTGTCCCCGATGTTGACGACGAGCGCGCCGGTCCTCGGCCGCACGGCCCGCCACTCGCCGTCGACGAGCACCTGGAGCCCGTCTACGTCGCCGTCCTGCAGCAGGACGGTGAGCGCCGACGGGTCGCAGTGAGGCCCCGTCCCCAGCGTCCGCTCCGGCTCCGGGCACGGTGGGTGGTAGTTGCACCTCATGATGGAGCTGCCGTCGGCGAAGAAGTCCCTGTAGTAGCTCCGGCCCACGCCCAGGCTCACCCCTATCACCTCCATTATCGCCAGCGACACCTCCTTCATCGCGTTGCAGTAGTCCTGATACACCACCCTGCAGCAGTGCAGCATGAATATGTATGCGTTCATCCATGCATGCATGTTACATACACTCGTGTCATATACGTGTTATATCCGTATATATATATATAATACAAGTGATCGAAGATGTACAAAGCAGGTTTATAGAAGATTGTAAAGTCGCATGGAGGAGTAGATGTTTACCCTAAGGGTTTGAAGTCGCTTCCTAGCGTGGAGGTGATGTAGTCCACGACAACATGGCTGCCGGATGTCCGGCGGTCACAGTGGCCAAAGGAGAGCGTCTCCTTCCAGGGCAGATTGGCCGTGAAGCGGTCTGCGTGCGCGGCGGTGTAGCCGGTGACGTTCCCCGGAGCGCGGCTGGCGCGCTGCTTCGTGGCGAGAGGCAGGCGGAAGAAGTCGGCGGCGCCATCGAGCACGGCACGGGCAAGCGTGGGGTCCAGGCCGTGCCCGGTCATCTGGAAGAGCCCGTGGCTCGAGCACGCCCCGGAGACCTGCTCGGCGGCGCGGCGAATCCCGGCGTAGTCACCGCGCATGGCGGCGCCGACGTCGACCACCGGAGCGTCCAGCTCCCTCCCCGATGAGGCCAGAGTTTCGGCATGGGACCAGACGAACGGGTCCGGGATCTTTAGCTGGCCCCAGAGGTTGATGACAGCAGCGGCGTTGTCCTTGTCGTCGGCAGGAGAGACGAGGAGGAGTACGCGACGATCAACTTCCTTGCCCAGGTGGTCACTGCCGTGATGTGGGTTCTCTGGCATTTTGTTCAGGAGGTACGGGGTAGTGTTCGTGGCTGTGATTCAGGAAGTGGTTTGCAAGTGTTAGTGTGAGAAAGCCTCCTGAACATGTATAGCTATGAAACGGATTGGTAAGCTTGATGAGGCTCCTGAGCAAGTGTGTCCTCGTCGTATCTAAGCGCGGATCGGAGGGAAACATCCTTGGATGGAGACTATTTGGACCCGTGTGGTCGGGTGGGTCACTTCCTGCAAAACACGCATCTCTACTATCCAAGTAGCGTTAGGGAGGCAACCTAAGGGAGCAGTGTCGGAGGGCAAAACAGAAGAAGAAAAAAAGGGGATCCTTTGATCAACCTAAGCGACCAAAAAACATGAAATTTTTATGAGTAATAGTCGACTTCTGTACCTTTCTTTGACCGCAAGAAGCACCTTAATATGTGTTCTGGTTTGAGAGATATAGTCATCACAAGTTGAAGTTTCTGCGCTGTTTGGAGTTCTGAACAGTTTCAGCTGTGCCCTGTTTTTACTAACTTAACAACAGAATCTGGAAAAAGTGCTCTATAGGAAAGTTGTAACTAACTTCATAATCCTTCCATCCATTTAAAGAACGCCTTCGTTTGATATCTGGAACTCGAGTTATGACTGTTTAACTGCACGGCTAATGTTTAACCTCGTCCAAAAACTTTTAGTTGCTCTTTTATCTTATATAAGTGATCTTTTAATTTGGATAAGTTTTGCGCATTTTGCTTTGGAAAACAGATGGCCAGCAACACGAGATCTGGAAGGGGTGCTCACAACAATCCCAACCCGCCACCGCCACCATCGCCGGCGACCTTGGAGCAGATTCTTGCGGTGTAGACTCAGCTAATGCAGACTATGGTGCAGCACATGCAAAATCAACCAGTAGCAGAAGCGCCACCTGTCCCCCCATCGGGACAAACATGGCGAGTTCATGAAGGGACATCCGCCAACCTTCGCCCATTCTACTGATCCACTTGAGGTAGACGACAGCTCAGAGCAATTGAGAGACAACTTGCTATCACTCAATGCAATGAACGGGAGAAGGTGCTCTAAGCTTCCGGACAACTGCGAGGAGCAGCACTTGACTAGTGGGAGTCTTACAAGTATGGGCATGCCAACGCCAACTAGAGGTAATAATATTCAGCACACCATTCCATTTATTACTAAGACAAAATTGGCTTATATATAGAACACTATCATGGCTGGTGGGAGTGTTCACAACCGGTTGTGATAGTGTGCTTTTGATTGGTGGGAGTGTTCACAACCAGCTATGATAGTATGATCATGGTTGTTATAATAATTTTTTAACACTTTGCAGTGGTTATACATCTTTACTCGTGAGTTGTGATTTCTGTTTAGCCAAGGTTAATTACTCCATACTATACTTCCAAGTGTCACGCACTACTACAGGATTGCTTTTGCGTGACACCTCCAAATCTTAACCGAGGCGGGCACCTATTTTGTGCGCCACGGTTAATGGCCACGATTAACTGAGGCGGACATTATTTATTTACCGTGACGGTCACTTTTGCCCGCCACGGAAAATATATTTACCGAGGCGGGCAACTTAAAATGTCTGCCACGGTTAATAGCTATTAACCGCAGCGGGCATTTTAAGTTGTCCGCTTCGGTAAATATATTAACTGAGGCGGGCATGTTACAAGGCTCGTCACGAAAAAAGGCCTGGCCCAATCGACCCAGAGGAAGCCCAATAACCGCTCTAGCATAAATATGGCACTTAGGGTTTCCAACACTTAGCCAGCCTCCTCTCACCTTCTCGCAGACAGCCACACTCCTCCACTCCCCTCCCCTCCCCTCTCCTTCTCGTAGACAGGCCGGTGGCGGCGGGCGAGCTGCGACGCTGGCGACGGCGAGGCTTGCGGGGGAGGAGTCTCCTCTCCCTCCACCGATGGCACCTCCCCCGCTCCCCTCCCCTCCCCTCCCTCACGAAGCAGACGGCGGCGGGCGGCTCTCCCGGTGGCTCCACCAGATCCGGCTCCACCAGAGCGGCGGCGCGGCGGCGGCCATTCCCCATCCTCTGCGTCGCGCCTCCCCCAACTCAGGTAGGTTTCCCTCGCTCCTCATCTCCCTCTCTTCCACTCCCTCACTCTCTCCCCTATATATGCATGCAGGTCCGGTCCAGGAGCGCCGCCGCCTTCCCTTGGGCCGCCCAGATCCGGTGCAAGGATATCCTGGCCACCACAGCGGCTGGTCCAGGCGGGTCCGCGAGCTCTGGCGGCGTGAGGAGGCGGAGGCCGGCGAGATCCATACGCACGAGGATGACGACCGCGAGCGGGTCTGCGAGCTCCATCGGCACGAGGAGGTGGAGGCCGGCGAGATCCACACACAAGGACGACGACAGCGAGCGCGTCCGCAGCAGATCCACGCACCTGGCAGTGGGCTCGATTGGGTCTGGCGATGGGCTCAATTGGGCTCGCTAGGGTTTTTTTTGTTTTTTCCAAACCATTAACCGCGGCGGGTATCCTAACCTGCCCGCCACGGTTAACCGATTAACCGTGGCGGCAAGTTGGCCCGCTGCGGTAAAGCCATGATTTCCCGTGGCCTTTGAACCACGGCGGACAGCTTTGCCCGTCGCGGAAAACCGATTTTGCCCGCTGCGTAAAATCATTACAGTAGTAGTGACGGTAGGGTTTTACTATGAAGTAAGCTTTCCAGGTTTTCAAAAGTCAACTCAATAATTGTGATATTTGATTCAGTTTCTGGGTTTTGGTTGGCAGAAGCCAGATAAGCTGAAATAAATAGGCCCTTAGTGGTTGAGTATAGAGCAGTGTTATCTAACAATGGTGCGTTGATAGTCATGTCTTAGTTGCTTAGAGTTGCGTTGTTGTTGCTCCATCCTTTAGGTTTGTTGTGCCTTCGTTATATTTGCTAGATTGGCCACTTTCTATCTATATCTATGTCTATATATAATATAAAATATTGTAGCGAAGCTTTCTTCTCTTCTGCTTTTTTCACTTCCTAAACTATCCTAACGCACTTCGTATATATCGTATGTGACCTGGATTTATGATTCGTGATTACACGAGTTAAAACAGTGCACGTTCAATAATAATGGGGCGTTAGATTTTAAGATGTATTGCACGCAGTACGTTTGCTAGTAGAAGAAAAAGAAAAATGATAATAAAAATTGTAGGCCCCAGTGATCAGCACAGGCGTGCCGCGCACATGGGAAACGTAATAAACACAGCCACGCTTGCCGTTTCCATTTGGGTTTTTTGATTGGCAACATTACAATTTTTGGTTATTGGAGATATACCATTACAATTCGACTAATTCAAACCATACCATTACAATTGCGCGATACTCGGACCAACGCCATGGGATACGCTCAGCGATGTCTTGGGGCCACCTGCAGGTGTGTACACTGCCTCACTATTTCCGTATGGACGTCCATGCCCTCGGGTCATTTGGATAAGGTGTCTCCGTATCCCACCCAGGCTGACTGCTCTCTTCCTCCTCACGCTCTGTCTCCTCTCACTCACCCTCACCCCGACGACGGTGGCGAGCAAGATGGCGGCGACCCTGTCTTCGGCGGCATAGACTGCGACGACCAGAATCACCCAGCTTGCGTGCGTGCTGCGATGCACCCTATTGCGCGCAATGGGTGAGACGCAGCTGCGCGGGCACGGCGGAGATGGTGGATGACGAGGGCGGGTATTTATCCTCTGCCTCTTTTTCTTCCCTTCTTCCCTCCATAGTGAATGAGCTCGTCCCCGGTAGATTTCGTTGAGGCTATTGATAGGGATTCATTGGATTTGGGGTTGATTTTGTTTGTTTGTTGCTAGGGTTTCGTTGTTCTCGCTAGTGATGAAAGTAGAAGGATTCTGTACCCGAAACAGCACTGGTAGAAAATCATACACAAAGGGACGCTTGATTAAGTGGGATGTTGAAGTAGCTTCATTTTCCTTCGATTTGCTATTGACAAGCCTACGCAATGAGTTCCAGTGGTCCAGTAGCCAGTCTCCTAGTGTGTGGTTCTTTGACAAAAGGCTATGTGAAGATGTGAGAATAGAAAATGATTTTCAGATGCATGACTTGTTTGAAATGTATAAGGATCAGATGCGCTGTGAAGTTCTTGTGTTTAACAGTTGTCTTAGACAGTCTGATGAGTTTACAAACCTAGACCCAATATGTGTGATTCCACCTGAGTTTTCTATTCACGGCAACCCCAGTAGCAAAGACATTCCACTAGGGGATGGGAATACCATCAGCCCTGATGACAACCATTCAGCCCAGCCTTCTGATAATGATGAGTATCCATTAGAGCCTAAGCCTGACAGGGAACCTGACATGTTTGACAATGATGAGGAGTATGTCGGTGTTGACGATGAAGGACTGTACATGCCTGTGCAGGCAGCTAACAATGTAGAACCTTGTAACAACCATGCTCATACTGCTGATGATGATGACTATGTTCATGTTGTTGATCAGTTTGATGATGTTGGTGCTGCTGAAGGAGGTGTTCCTCTTGAGGCAGAGGTAAATGATGCAGATCTAGAGGAGGTTCAAGTTATCTATGATCCTGAAAACCCCAAGATAGAGAAGGGAGAAAGATTTCCTGACATTGTTGCATTTAGGAAGGCAGTGAGACATCATGCAGTGGTGAAAGGGTTTGAATTTGGTAAAATCATTACAGATAAAACTAGGTTTATTACTACGTGTAAAGCTGAAGGGTGTCCTTGGCGTATACATGCTTCAAGGATCTTTGATGGCAAGACAATAGAGGTGAATTGAAGTTATGACATCTCTTTCATTTTGTTACCAGTTTTCCACCTTATAATTTAACATTTTTTTGTCTGTGTGTGCAGATCAAAACACTATGTGCAGAACATAAATGTGCTACTACTAAACTCCAAGAAACCAAAATGGCAACCCAAGGCTGGGCTGTAGAAAGGTTAGTGGATTGGTTGAAGAGGCATCCTACTAAGACTCCAACAGATTGCAAGGATAAATTAGAGGGTGACTATGGTATCAAGCTCAAG